AAGAGTGCCCAGAAAACTATAGCTGCTTGAAGGTTGGTAAGAATCCTGACTTTGGTTACACAAGTTTTGATCATTTTGGCTGGGCCTTTCTTTCTTTATTCCGTCTGATGACCCAGGACTGCTGGGAGCGCCTCTACAGACAAGTAGGTACTTTTCTTACCTCCTAGAATTACTTTAGACCTGCAGTTCAGAGCTTTATGTCCACTAGAAAAATCTGCACCTGTTTTAGCATCACTGGTACCCAGTTTCTTTTAAAATGGATGTAAATATTAAGGAAGTAGCTTCAAGTGACTAAGTTGTAACAGCTGCAAGTGATACTGGATGGGAGCAATCCTGCTGTGAAATTTGTTTGGAGAACACACTTGGGTCAGTGATTAACAGTTAAATGTTATTATGTAATTACCAGAGGATTTGGGTGACCTCACTGTTGCTGCAGGGTTTATAAGAACTTGTGACATACTGTTTCTCTTCCTTGAAGTCCTGACTCCTCACCAAGCCTTTCGGCTCAACATATACACTTACATTTCAGATAATTTTTGACAACTGATACTAAAAGAAATTAGAGCCAGAGACTTGAACATAACATTTAAATTCTAATTTTTGACAAAAATTATACAAAAGCTGCATGTAGAGAACATTCTGGATCCCTTACAGATATGCAATGCCTTTGCTAGAAGGGAATTATCCTCTGCCTTATTCTATAGCTTTCATATGGTTCAGTTTAATTTTTTTCAACCGAGTTTTCTTAAGTGAGATTTTTTTTTAATGGATGCATCTTCTTTTTGCCATTTGGTGGTCTCGTGGTTTTTAGTTTTTAATGTCTCAGAGATAATTGGGGGCCATGTCCTCTGCTTCCACTTTCAAAAATGTATAAATAAGCAATCAGTCCAAATAAATTAGGCTGTATAGATTAGACCAAAGGTAGATCCTGCTGTTGTTCAATGAAACGCTGCAATACATTGTCCTTTTATATTGTATAGGGAGAGAAATTGTTTAAAATTAGTTTGAAATTCTATTGTAAATGTTAGTATGTTAAGACTTTGTTACAGGCTTTGCCTTTTCCTCACAGACTATCCGTACATCTGGAAAAAACTCCATTTTATTTTTCCTGGGGGTCATCTTTTTATGCTCATTTTATCTCTTCAATCTAATCCTGGCTGTTGTAACTATGGCATATGAAGAGCAAAGCAGAGCTACTCTTGCTGAAACAGAGGCAAAGGAAAAGTTACTTCAGGATGCCAAACAGCTTCTAGAGAAAGAAAAGGTTTGTACATTGTTACATAAATATACAGTATGTGATTCCTTTTGTTTTCTTCTTTTTGTGAATTAAGGAAATTAGGATTTTAATTAAATATGTGCTTCTTACAAGACTTTAATATCTCTTTCTCTCTGTGTCTTTATAAATAGCCACAGAAATGTGTGTATATATTTATAAAAATATATAAACATTTCTGTAATATAAACAAACAGCTTGAGTCCAAGTTAAATCATATTAAGTTTTAGGATTTTCAGACCTGACATTGTATAGGAATTACTTGCTGGCAAGTATATAGCTTTTATGGTGTGGCTCAGGTGCCTGTGTTCTGTGGGTTGCCCCATTCTTGTGCACTGTCACTGTTGCCCTCTACAGAAATTCCTTTCTCTGGATATTCCTTCTTGTTATTCCTCCATCCACTAATGAAGGAAATATGAGTGGGTACATTTGCATCCATAAGAAAAGTTGTCATTTCTCCAGTTCCCTGAGATTGGAAGTTCTGATGCTGATAGACTGCAGGATTGATTAAAAGCACAAGCTTCTGAGAGCCATTTTGCTCAGCTGTTTAAGGGCTCTCATGCCTCTTTTTGAGTGAGTACATGCAGCAGGTTTACCAGTTGACAAGAGCAGGAACAATCTTTGGCCAGAGTAGGAGTGCTGCTAGTTCTATATGACTGTAGGACACCCAGAGACTCTGTTAGTTTCTTTGCTGTTGGTTTGAAGAGCTAATAGAGACACATCAGATTTCTACAGTGTTTCCTCTTGGCACAGTATGGTCTGGCTTCATTCATTCCTTGGCCTGTACAGAACAAGGGATCTACTTGTTGTTTTTATTTTATTTCTGAGAAGTGAATGTCTGAGCTGAGGCAACAAGATAGATGGACAATTATTGGTAAGACATATTTTATTTCTTTTTTATAAAACATACCTCTGATTTACTGCTAACAATCAGAAAAGTCAGACTTGTAAGAGGTCATACAAATACTCTCTAGCAACTATCCAATGTCATTGTTAAGGTGAAAAGCATCACCCATTTACCAAATTCCTCCTCTGCTGGTCTTGACAAGGCCTGTAATGTTTCTCTGTCCAAAACTCCAGCATGCTAATCTCTGCTTAGCCTTTTCTTCCTTCTATTCTTCTTTCAACAGGATTAGGAGTTTAAAAAGGTTTAACATGTTAGGATTTAGTCTGAGCCCTTAGTCTCCTGTTGTCTTTGGGCTCAAGGTCCTTTCCAATCAAGAAAAGAAGAGGAAAAGGAGACACCATAATAGTCTATAATTCAGATTCAAAATACAGTATCTAAAGAGTCAAGGGCAAACTTTAATTATAGTAGCTGATGGGTAACCCTGCTCTATCTTTCAGTATTGTGCATACCATTTTGTGCTCCTTTCTTTTTATAGTAGTTTAATAGTTGAAAGATAGGCATTGTTGCTGAAAAGCATTCAAATAGCATAAAAATTAAACTGTATATGATCCTGCTTCATTGCCCTTATATTAATAGATGTTTCTTTTATAGATGTTGGCTGTAGGAGAAGATAATAAGGCCTTAGAGGTCAGATCTGAAGTGCCAGTTGCTGAAAATACAGAAGAAAAAGAGATGAAGAAAGACAGACCTATTTTAATGCAAAACTTAGTTCTAGGTGATCATGACAAAGATGAAGCTATATTTAATTCACAGCCTGGTCGCTGTCACAAGAAGCTGGTAAGTATTTGAAACAGAAGATATGTTCCTTAGAGGTGAATGTGATATGACAATTTGATGAGCAGAAAAGATTTCTTTCTTTGCAGTTTCCCCCTCTTTTTAAAAATATTTTTTTATTATTCTTTTTTTCCTTCTTGCATGCATTGAATTTACTTGTTTGTAAAACAATCTGAAAGGTAGATTTTAGGACTAGAGGGAGACAACACTATATGGGTTTGAAAGGGAATTTCAGAGTGGCCTTCAGTAGGATACATCTGGCACATGATTGTCCTCTGCACATAAATATGTGCTGAGATCTGTCAGCATCTTTATTGTGCTGCATAAACAAACATAAAACCCTGCAAGTTCTAGAATTTCCCTCATGACCTACCCTTTTTTTTTTTTGTAGACACAACTAATTCCCTGGTCTAGGTATTTAAGATTGGACTTCTAATGTTAGGGGCCTAGTTTACTTGTGTAAGTAACTATGACCCTTTAGTGCCATTTTAGATGTTCTTGGACAGGTTAGATATCCTGGATATCTTTGGCGTCTGTGCCACATCTTCCAGCACTGTGTGACTATCTCCCAGAGACAAATAAAGATCTAAATTTTTGGGGTGGGCAAAAATTGATACTGTGTGACATTAGAGGGTTTCTAGAGAGTCTTACTTGGCCTCCATTTACTCTACGGAAGGGCACAGTCATGATGTGTCATGTCTGCTTAGTCTAAGACTGTGGATTCTCAGACACCAAATGTCTTAATAGACAACCTCAAATGGATTCAGACACTCATGTTTAAGTGAATCAAACTTTCGAAAGGAAAAAGCATCACTTATAATAGGATTTTAGATGCATTGTGCACATGGACATATTAAAGGCGGATGTCTGAACATTAGGCTGAATCCCACGTGTGCTATTTCACATCTTGATTACAGCAGTGACTTCTGGCTTTGCAGAAGATCCCTCTGCTCATCAGTCCTTTCTAAATCCATTAAGAAATTGCTATTAAGACTTGTAATTCTTACTTTGCTTAATCCTGGGGACTTTTTTTACAGTACCTTTGAAACTGGCAAAATACTGGACCTCATGGACAGTCCTTACAATCATTTTTCCTATGGTCCAGCATCCATCTAGAGTGTGGGTTTGTTTACCTTTTCAAAGCTTGGTCCAGTTCTGTATCTTCACTTGGCATGACCAGTGCATGTGTGACTGCATCTGGGGTGTTGTCTTGAGTTTTGAGCTCTCCAGTAGAAGGATTATATTGAGTTATCATGCAAAGCCAAGGGAGACCACCAAGATTAAGGGGTTGTAGCACGTGATGTATGAGGAGGAGTGGAAATATTTGGTTTGTTCAGCCTGAAGTGGGAAAGGGAAGAAACTGATTATTGCTGTCTACTAGTATCTAATGGGAGTGTAAAAAGAAGAAGCCAGTATCTTCTTACAGGTGCAGAATGGAAAGTCAAGGGGAAGGAGCAGAACAGATTCTACAGATTCTGCACAGGTGCAGAATGGAAAGTCAAGGGGAAGGAGTTGCAACAAGGGAAATTCCAGTTATTTATTGGTGTGGGGGTGGGAGGGTGAGTGTGAAAAATCACTGTGACAGAGGGTAAATATTAGAACAGTTCATCCAGAGAATTTTATTTTTTTTTTAATAGTCCCTGAGGTGGAAGTTTCCCTTGCTTTGAACAAGAGAGTAGGAAGACTTGCAGAAAACCTTCCCAACTTTAATTTTTCTCTGGTTCTATCACAACGTCCACATGTAGATGCATGTATTTAGGTGTTTTAATCTTGAGCAGAATCTTCCAAAATAGTTCTTATGCAATTGTTCATATTACTGAGTTATTTTTAACAATTTCTGAAAAGAAGGCTTTTAATCCCCTTATGCTGTTTCAACAGCAGCTGTTCTCCAGTATAGGCTTGTGACTTGCACCATACTGAGTCCACTGGAAAGACAAATGGTGTAAAAGTAGATGTTTTTTTCCCAAAAAAAACCCCTTGACTGAAACCCTGGTTTGCAGCCACACCTTTGATAATGCAGGTTGGAATTTCAAACCAGTCTTCAAGCCAGATGTGTTTCTTCCTCCCATTTCTGTGGGGATCATTTTCCATGACTGAGCAGGGCCTCTAGATGTGGAGAGCTGGAAATCATCACCAAAACATACCCAGTGCATTCTGATATTACCCCTTATCCCTCTTTCTCCCAATGTATTTTCTGTGACCCGCCTCATGATGGTTTCATCTCATGGCAGATTATCTCTTGCTTCTGGGAGAACATCAGAATTGTTCCCACCCACCTCATAGAAAATGGAAACTTTCCAGTAGCAGATTTAAAGGAGTAATGGCCCAACTTCCTTCCTTTGGAAAAGTATCCTTGTAGGGGAGTTTTTATCATACATGTCAATTTAGCTAAAATGGATTAGGTTTTCATTCTGACAGTCTACATGCTCACAATTTCTTCTGAATTCTGTGATCCTAGCTATATTAAATTATGTGTCTGAGCTGAAGGAGTAAAAAATCATCCACTTGGCAGCAGCTGCCATCTGTCATCTCCTTTACTGTGGTATTTACTTCCTTAAGAATGTCATTGCTGCTTCCACAGCCATGTAAAGATGATGCCATTTTGTGACCTACTTTGGCTCTGCTGTGCTTAAAGGGAACACTCTGTCACAGTCCATGATATTGCATTATTATACCTATTGAGGAAAGGAAAAGTCTTTTCATAACAGGTGTCATATCTTCTATAAGCATAAAAATCACCTCTTATGGCAGTTTAACCTATGTATTTATTTTTTCCCTCTAAGCCTGTGACTGTATGGAAGAAGATGGCTGAGCCAGGAAATAAATTTGGTTTAGTTCCTAGATCTTACCTCCCTAAGACTGCAAAATCTACACAGGTTGGATTCTAAGCACAATCTGTGTTTTTATATTTCAGAAATAACATCTTCAGACCTTTCCCAAGGTCCATTGCCCTCTTTATGTGCAGGGAATTGCAAAGTTATGGACATCTCTGTATAGAAACTTTTGGGAACTAGTAATAGATTGCATTAAAACTTTGTACAAGAATTGTTGAGTGGAACCCACTTTTCAGAAGTGTATTCTGCAGAGTTTAAACTACATTGCTGAGCTTGCTAACAGATGCCTGTACATTTCTGCATTAAGACTTCCAACACCTAGCTCCAGATAACTGTGAGATCCTGGTTGTAGGCTTATGCTGTCTTAAACATACTTTCAGATAATAATTAAACAGCAGAAGCAGCTATTTATCAATCATGAACGTGCTTTGAGAGACATAGTCCACCTGCAGACTCACTTGTTCTCACTCCCCTACATCACAGCTCTCACGTTGTCCTACTAATGTTGGTATTTCATATTCATTAATTTTTTATTTTTTTATTTTTTTTTTTTAAAGAGGGCTTAGAGCATGATCCAAGCAGTGTGAGCTGCTCCAGTGTATAGTTCTACCATTAGAAAATACAGTCTGGAAAAACCATGGCAGTTTGTTTCGTATCATGGTTACTACTGGTAGTACTAGCTCTGCTGCAACTGAGGAGTCTTCAAACAATCTACTCTCTGATCACAAGAGGTTAAAGATGCTAAGTCAAAGAGAAAGGAGCATATTGGGGAGAAATGTTTTGGCAGGACATAATCAGTTCTAGAAGAACTTTAATGGATTATTTCTGGTCTGGAAGGGATGACTTCTGAGGAGTGGCTGGGGTCACTTGGATTGTTTTGCTCGGAGGAGGCTGAGGGGGACACCTCATTGAAGTCTATGGCTTCCTCTTGAGGGGAAGAGATGTGGAAGGTCCTGATCTCTTCACTCCTGTGACTGGTGACAAGACTAGGGGAAGTAGGAGGAGCCTGAATCAGGGCAGGTTTAGGTTGGATATCAGGAAAAGGTTTTTCCCCCAGAGGGTGGTTGAGCACTGGAACAAGCTCCTCAGGGCAGTGGTCCCAGCACCAAGCCTGCCTGAGCTCAAGAAGCATTTGGATGATGCTCTCAGGCACATGATGTGATTCTTGGGGTGCCCTACACAGGGACAGGAGTTGAGGTGCTGGAGCAGGTCCAGAGGAGAGTAACAAGGCTGGTGAGAGGGACAGTCTTACAAAGATAGGCTGAGGGAGCTGGGGTTGTTTAGCCTGGAGAAGAGGAGACTCAGGGGGGACCTTATCACTCTCTTCAACTACCTGAAGGGAGGTTGTAGCCAGGTGGGGTTGGGCTCTTTTTCCAGGCAACCAGCAACAAGACAAGAGGGCCTGGCCTGAAGCTGCTCCAGGGGAGGTTTTGGTTGGATATAAGGAAGCGCTTCCTCACGGAGAGGGTGATCAGACATTAGAATGGACTTCCCAGGGAAGTAAGTGGTGGAGGCACCACCCCTGGATGTGTTCAAAGAAAGGCTGGATGTGGCACTTAGTGCCATGGTCTGACTGATGTGGTGGTGTTGGTCATAAGCTGGACTTGATGATCTGAAAGTCCTTTTCCAGCCTCAATAATTCTGTGATTCTAATATGTATTTTAAAAGGCAGATTTATCTTACCCTGGACATAAGTTTTCGATTACCATTTATTCATATACCCTTGTTATTTTATCTTCTGTTATTTTTCTGTCCATAGAGGCAGATACTGCTGTCCTATGAATTGTCAGTGGACTCCATTAATGATCCTCTCCGAAGACACAGGTTAATGAGCGCAGCCACTGTTATCACAGACAATATGCGTAAGTCATTCCTTACTGGTTTTCCGGTGGTAATTGTGTCACTTCACCTAAGAGATCAAAATGTCACAGTCAGCATTATCTTGAAAGTCACCAGGGGAAATTATGCTGCAATTAAATGTAAATTTCAGTAAAATAAATATTCTTGTATCTCACCCAGCTGTTACTCTAACGTGCAATTACCAAGGGTAAATCATGCCTGACCAACCCTGTAGAATAAAAAGACTAGGGTTTGTAGATGAGGGAAGAACAATTTTTTCACTTACCTTGACCTCAGCAAGGCTTTCAACACTGTTTCCCACTGTATTTTTTCATCCAGGTTACAGTTTTAGGGCCTACCATAGGTGGGCAACTAGCTGGACCAAAAACTGTCTGGACATTTAGGCTCCAAGTGGCTGGTGAACAGGTCGTACTCTACCTAGAGGCAGGTAGCAAGTGGAGTAGCACAGAGGTGCATCCTAGGACACATCTTGTCCTAAGTGATCTGGAGGAGGCAGCAGAAGGCTTGCACTTGAATTTTACAGATGACACCACCAAACAAGGGGGGAACCACTTCACAAACTGGAGGTAAGGGCTGCCATCTAGAGGGACTTAGACAGACTGGAGGAATGGGCCAGCAGGAACCTAAGGAAAATTCAGCCAGAAGAAATATAAACTTGTGCATATCTGCAAGAGTCTCTGGCAGCATCACAGGCTGGGAGCTGGCTGGGAAGCAGCTCTGCAGGAAAGGCCCTGTGGGTCTTTATGGGCAGTGAGCTGAGCATGAGCAGTAGCATTGGCCAACAGTATCCTGAACTATATTACAATTAGTATAGCCAGGAGAAAACTGGTTTTCACCCTTTATTGGGCAATTGCTAGAACACATACTATGCCTAGTTTGCTCTTCAACTGTCCCAGTACAAGAAATATATTGAGTTCAGCAGAGGGCCACCAAGTCAGTGCCACCAGTGCTGGGCTACTTCAACCTGGAGAGAGGGTTTTGAGAGGAAGTTAGTATCAGCCTTCCAGTCTGTAGGAAGACATAACCAAGAAGATGGAGCCAGGCTCTTCACCGTGGCTCACAGGAAGAAGGTGAGACAACAGGAAGAAGTTGAAAGAAAATAGCTTCAAACTGTGTGTCAGGAGAGGCTTTCACCATGAGGACAGTCAGACAGAGGATCTGTCTGTTATGCAGTTTCTGACCTCATGGTTGACCCTGCTTTGAGGAGGCAGTTGCACTAGAGATCTCCTGAAGTCCCATCCAACTTCCAACTTATAACCCTATCCTGGACTATGGACACCAAGAAATGAGGAACACTCTTCCTTTTATCCTGATCTGTTTTTTCAACCTGTGCTGCATCTCTATCTGCAGATTTAACTCACAGAAGACAAGTTGTCAGATTTTCCATAGACAGTTTTTTGTCCTTAATGCAGGTCCTTTCTCATTAAATGTATGAAGAGGTTGGTAATATCACCTGTTTCTGTAATTATGATGTGTTGATGGTCTGTGTTTATGTAGAATGAGTGAAATAATGTTTTCCAATGATGCTATTCTGCTCTTATGAAATTGATTTTTCTTTTGAATATTTTGTGTGACTGATTGTCTTTTTCTTCACGCTATGAAATTCCACCCAAGATTATTTGTATGTCCCTTTTCCCTCTTGTCATTTAGAACTGCAGGAGTCAAAACTGAAATGCCCCTCATTCTGCAAACGTTTCGCTCAAGAGTACCTGATTTGGAATTGTTGTCCATTCTGGTTAATAGTCAAGGAGAAGGTGAAACTGGTAATTTTGGATCCATTTGCTGATCTCTTGATCACAATTTGCATTATTGTGAACACTTTTCTCATGGCACTGGAGTACCCTGGTATGGGAGCCTATTATCAAAACATGATTTTTTTAAGTGACAAGGTGAGTCAGGTTTATGTTAGAATGAATATGCAGTTATAACCCCATATTTATACTGGGACAGTCCCATAAGAAGAAATACTTCTTCTGTAACTTGTTTTCTGCATTCCTTTTTCCTCTTTCCAGGTCTTCACCCTGATTTTTACAGCAGAAATGATCTTAAAAATCATCGCCCTAGATCCTTACAACTATTTCCAGCAAAAATGGAATATTTTTGACAGCATAGTTGTTATGATTGGTCTAATAAGCTTTGAAGAAAATCTGTCATATTTCAGGCTGGTAATTATTTCTCCATTCTTTTCTAGAAGTACATGGGTTGTATATATTTGTAAAAGATTACAATGGAATACCCTCAAATTATTTTACTGATGAAACTGTTAAATCAATTCTCTTTATTGATAAATAAGAATGCTTAATTAGAGTGAATGTTAAATTAATATTAAAGAATATGTTCAATATATTTACTATACTGTGTATATTGGATACTACAAATCATCTGGCACAGTGGAGATTTGACCTTACAGAGAGTTCCCTGGTTCCCTGTTAGGTCTGTACAGTTGCACTGCCCAATGAGGTTTCAGATCTTCCATTAGGAAGAGATATTAGCTTTCATGAGCTGGAGGATAGCAAAGGTTCCTTCACAGCTTTTCAGTTTGAGTTGAGAGTTGTAAAATAATGTAGCTTTTCCCAAGGCCTTGAGGTCTCCTTAATGTTTTCCTCCATCTTAGGGAAAAGGAGTCAAAGCTCTGAGGTGTCTATGTGTAATGTTACTTTTCTTGCTTACAATGTTGATGTGTATTTAAAATGCTAAATGCACTAATTACTTCTCACATCCTTCATAGCTTTTTTAGAGTCATTACACCTAGAAGTTCAGTTGAATTCTGTTTCATCTTGTGTATCATGACTGAGAGATTTTAAGACGCTAATTAGACTAAAAATGTCCTTTTTACTCATGAGGGTGCACAAAATAGACCTCATCTGGCTTTTCAGATCCCATTTGAAGTTTGCTGGGTGAGAGGTAGAAAAAAAATCTGTTTTCAGTTTCTGTCTGATTACATTTGATTTAGCCCAAAGTACAGTAATTCCATAAGCCTTGGCTAAGTGTCCATAAGCCACTTGATTATTACTAGTATTGTTATTAATACTAACATACTTACACATACTCATATCTAACTTAGCAGTTCCTAACTGCTAACTCCTTTGGCAGTTCTCTGTTCTCAGTAGCATTAACCATCTGAGGTTAAGCACACTGCTTTTGGATCAGAACAATTAAAAACCTTTCTTTGGGGGGAAAACTTGTGATGGCATGACTGAAGTCAAGCCAGCATGATGAATACAGGCTCTGGTTTTTATGTGTGCTGTCCTCTCTGTGCATTGTTTGCCACTCACATTGTTCTCTTGTGTTTTACTTACAGCTCAGGATCTTCAAATTGGCAAAGTCCTGGCCGGCCTTAAATACTCTTATGAAAATAATTCTGAACTCAGTTGGTGCTCTGGGTAACCTCACTCTGGTGTTGATTATCACTGTATTTATTTTTGCTGTAGTAGGAAAGCAGGTTTTGGGCAAATATTATGAGGGAAATTACTGTAGAATAAGCACAAGTCCAAATTTACGCTGGCATATGAAGGATTTTTGTCATTCATTCCTGATTATATTCCGAATATTATGTGGAGAATGGATTGAAACCATGTGGGAATGTATGGAAGTGGCTGAAAAAGGACTGTGTCTACCCATTTTCTTGTTAGTCCTGGTGATAGGAAACCTGGTGGTGAGTTTCAAGCTATTTTTGAGTCCCTACTGAATGCATCCAGTTACACTGACATAGTTTTTTTCTGAGGCAAACCTTTTCATTTGAGGAGTTTTCACACTATTCTCTTTTCTGGATGTTACCTAATAATTTTTTTTTTTCTTTTCTCCTCTTTCTCTTTCTCACACAAGAGGTAGAGCTGCTATGTGAAATATACAATATTATTCCTTCTACCCAGAGTACAGAAGTGCAGTATTTTTGAAAGTTTAGTGTCCGATTTCTTTGTCTTTTCTGTTGATAGGATCAAATAACCAAACTGTTGAATGGTTACCAATTTATCCCTATGTTTCCAAAAGTTTACAGCACCCAGATTTTCTGGTTTGTGTGAGATATTCTAGGTCTAATGTATATACAGTGGAAAATGGAATCTTTCTTGTCTGCAGGGTTTGTTGGTCTATACCAGAACCTTTTTGATGGTGATCTTATCACAACTTATCTTTGCCTGCTGTTTTTCAACATATCTTCCTCTTCGTACCTTATGGACAACAGCACATGTGAAAATATATCTAATATACCCAAACCCTCACTCCCTTTCTTTCCCTCCTGCCTTTCCTTCCAGAAGGAACCACATCACGCTATATTAATATTCAAGTAGAATAGTAAATAATTTTGTTGCAGTGGTTGATGAAAGTGAGTTAGGTGGTGTGTTTTTTTTTAATCTCAGGAGGATTTTCTGAAATGTCTTTTCCACGAGCAGTAAAGTCTCCAACTTACTTTAATTTTTTTTTAAGGTGCTCAACCTCTTCATTGCCTTGCTGCTGAGTTCATTTGGTACTGACTCCTCAATGGGACAAGGGGAAACAGAACAAATGACTAAATGTCAGATTGCAATTGCACAGATTCACAAGGGCCTGCAGTCTGTGAAGGACAGAATTTGTGATGGCTGTGGCAAAATAATGAAACGAAGCCTCAGAACAACAGCCAAAAAGAAGACTTCTGCCAAAGACAGAGATGAAAACAGCTATGCCATGACAGATGTCAGAAAGGATATAGACAACTGTTGCTTTGACACTGGGTATGACAATAGTGAAGAGAGTTGCTCAATAACAAAGAAATACGGAGATTTTGTAACCAGTCCTAAAGCCTGTGTTCCCATTGAAGTAGCAGAGACTTACACCAATGTAGGTGATGATGGACACAGTGTATGCACAGAAACAGAATACAGAAAACAGGTAAGAAATATTACTATTTGAAAAATTACTTGCATCTGTAATATAATATCCAAGACTCAACAGTAAATGTAGCACTTCTGTCATTTACTTGGTTCTAGTAGCTTCAAAATGCAAGAGCTACCAAATCATCTTAGTTATTCAATAAGAGATGTTGAGAATCCACTTTTTCATCATTCTCCTCATTTAGAGCCATAATTCTGCTCCTGTCTGTTTTGTTTCCATTTATTGCTGTCAGTTGCTAAATGAAGTCTGATCAAGACAGACATTCTGTCTTATTTGACTGCTTTGCCTTAGCCATGGCACCTGGAATTTTTGAAAGGCCCCTTTTGTTGCTTATATGTCACTTCTCAGTTGCATGGAATCCAAAGGCAATATAAATAAAAGCTTCACCTTAAAAAAATAATTTATTAATGTCTTTTTAATTCCCTTCTCCTCCTCCTGTTGGCTTGTACAACAGAAGATCAGGCTGATGTGTAGGTTCTTCACATAAAGCCTCTAACAAAAAGTACTTTATTATTTTAATCTAATTTTTGTTATTGATTTCTGTGTATTTCCCCAGGTAGCACATTCAAGTAGGAATGAGATTTTCTAAGATGTTGCAACTGTGCTTTTTTTTCTTCACAAGTAAAAGTTATGGTGTAAGCACGTGGCAACATGAGGTTTACCTCATCTAAAAACCACATTCAAATGTGTGAGCAGCAAGCTCAGGTGGAACATCAGGCTTTGATGACTGTACTGTACCTAGATGAGCATTTTTAAGATTGTATTTTATGAGTGTCTGTTGTGTTATGATGGTGACATCACCCTATTTTAAATCTATCAGAATAGGTATTTAGGCTCAAAATGCATTTACCTAGAGTTATGCTATGACAAAAATGTCAAGTGCTATTTATAGGTGGATTAATATATGGTCAGTGTCTGGTGGACTGGTTAGATGTATTTTCTGTGGTTTTGGCCACAAGAGGAGGCATCATCAGTGGAGTATCTTTGGATGAGTTCTTAAAGAAGCAGAAATTACTGAACCTTAGAAGCACCTGTGGCTAATTGAAATCTGTTGTCTGTAAACATTTGGTGTCAGAAATTATTTCCCTGCTGCAGTAGAATCTGATAGTGCTTGGAATTTGTGTTGGCAAAAGAAGTGAGAGCTGATTTGGATCATTCAGCTCTTCTGCCTGTAACTAGAAATATCAGACTGTTAGAGTCCAGCTGCAAAGGCTGCTACTGAGCCAGTTCCTCAGAACTTCTTTAATTTGATGCAGGAATCCATCAATGGGCTAAATGTAGATCTTGAGAAATAATACATTTCCACAGTCTAACCACAGGACCAAAGTGTTTAAAATTGGGGAAGAATTAATTTGATGCAGGAATCCATCAGTGGGCTAAATGTAGATCTTGAGAAATGATACATTTCCACAGTCTAATCACAGGACCAAAGTGTTTAAAATTGGGGAAGAAACCATTCTTTTAACATGCCTTATAGGAACTGCATTTAATTATCTGTAAAAAGACAAACGTGCTAAAACTTCTGGATGCCTTAGATTCTATTAAGGAATTTTGACTTTAAAGAGTGACTGGCAGGAAGAAAAATGTGGAAAATAGCTGTTTTGCATTATTTTATGCAGAGAGACCAATTAAGACGTAGAGAGCAATGCCGGAGTTCAAGCATCCTCAGTCAGATTTCTGGGACTTCTGAAACTACAAGTGGTTTTTCAGAAACACGTGAAAAGAAAGTGCAAAAAGTGGTAATTATCATCTTCATTATTCTGTGGAATGTGCATGAAAATCACAGAATTGCTGGATTTGGAAGGGACTTCTAGAAATCATCTAGTCCAACTCTCCCACTGAAGTAGGATCTCCTGGAGCACATTACTCAGAGCTGCATCTGGGCAGGTTTTGAGTATCTCCAGAGAAGGGCACTTCACAACCTCCCTGGGCAGCCTGTCCCAGGGCTCTATCACCCTCACTTGTCAATAAGTTTTTCCTCATATTTAAATATAACTTCCTATGTTCCAGCTTGTACCCATTGCCCCTTGCTCTGACATTAGGAACTACTGAGAAGAACCTGCCTCCATCTTCCTTGCACCCACCCCTTAGATACCTATATACACTGGTCACATCTCCCCTCAGCCTTCTCTTCTCCAGGCTAAAGAGTCCCAGCTCCCTCAGCCTTTCCTCATTAGAGAGATGCTCCAGTTCCCCTATCGTCTTTGTTGCCCTCCCCTGGACTCTCTCCAGCAGTTCCCTGTCTCTCTTGAACTGTTGTATTGATCCCTGGGGGACACCACTGGTTACAGGCCTCCAACATGACCCTGACCCATTGATCACCACCCTCTGAGATCTGCCACACAGCCAGCTCTCAGTCCACCTCACTGTCCACTCATCAAGCCCACTCTTCCTGATTTTCATAATGAGGATGTTATGAGAGACAGAATCAAAAGCCTGGCTGAAGTCAAGATAGATAACATCCACTGCTCTCCCCTCATCTAGCCAGCAAGTAATGATGTGTTAGAAGGCAATGAGGTTGGTCAAGCATGGTTTCCCTTGGGTCAATCCATTGTTGCAATGGTTCTCTCAGTCAGCAATGACAGCACAAGCTGAGGTTTTCCCAGGGTGTACAAGTATAAGATCATAGAATCATAGAATGTCTTGGGTTGGAAAGGGCCTCTAAAAGTCACCTAGTCCAACCCCCCTACAATAAGCAGGGACATCTCCAACTAGAATGCTCAGAGCCCTGTCAAGCCTGAATGATACAAGCCTGGATGAATGGTACATCTCTCTAGAGATAGTAATAGTTTAAAGCATAGAGTGTAACTTAATATATTCTTTTGTACAACATAAGTAAATAGAAATTAACTAAACCCCACACTTACTTCTTCTGGCTTCTCATTCTTATCCCTGTTCTCATGTCTTCCATTTCTGTGTCATTCAAGGCACTTACACTTTATGAGTGATAGACTGCTTTAATCCTTTTTCTTTATACTTGTTTTCTTTATCGTCTTTAGTTTTATAAGTGTGTAGGTTACCTACCAATAACTACAATCCTTTGAGATGTGTAGACATTTCTTTCCTTCAAGCCTTTTGAGACTTGGCTTGTGCCTCTGAAAGTGAAAGGAAAATTGGATTGGCATGAAGAAATCAGAGTTTTCTCTAAACCAAAGTTGTAGCATACTATAACCTCTTTTAAATATTTCCCTTCCTGCAAGTCCAGAGTAGATGACTTCAAGAAAGCAAGAAACTTGTTAAGTTAAAGCCATGGAAACAAAGAGTAGGGATTAGCCTTTTATCTCCTGTTATCTGTAATTTTATTTTGGTAGTTCAGCAACATAAAGATAATTTATACGCTGCAGATTTTTTCTATTTTAGGGGGGATGGAGTGACATTAATTATGATTAATTGTAAATCTGATTGCCTTATTGATGAAAAATAAATAAATAATTTTATTTGCCCTTCTCCTGTGCAGAAATGTGATGCTGGTAGCTATTCTGACACCAGCAGTGTGGATCCAACTGTTGTTCTGGAGATGTTTTCCCAGCCTAAAAAGTCACACTCACCCAAGGACTGTTTTGGAGAAAGTAAGAATCTTTTATGTATTGCAATGGCACAAAGCTAATCCATATTCAAAGGTATCTGTGTAGAACATTTACAAATTGGCAGAAACTGTTTGCCTGAGACACTTGTTTATAAGCATAAAAACTCTAATAAATATACCTGAAGCCAGCACAGAACTGTAGCAGGGTTGGGATGCCTGCACCCTGGCATTTAGTACCATATGGGGTGCCTGAGAGCATGCAAGACATCTGCATGAAGTTGGCAGAACTGTCACAGAAGCTGTTGAATATCCAGAGAGACCTAAAATGGTTCTAAACACCTGGGTTTAGGTAGCAAGATGCCATCTTTGGTGTGTGATTCAGTCTTCTGTTGAGACATCAGACTGTAGATATCTGCACACAAGCAAAGGCACCCCAAGCACTTCTGAAGGGGCAGCTGGAGATCAGTTAGGATATGCATGTTGGTGTCTGCTCTCTTAAATGACACTTCAGCTGACTTTGTTCAAGCTCCTAGCACTGTGGATGAACATCCAGTCAACGCATCTGATGGAACTGAGAGGGCTGTACATCTCATTCTCATGTGGACACCTACATTTGATTGCCTGAACTGCTCCTGAGACTCCATTGAGTGCCAGGGTTTGATCCTTCTGCCTTCACAAACTAATGAAAAAGTGTTTTTCTGGTGCAAAACAGTGACCAGAGAATGTAATTGTAACATCTCTGCAGTGAAATCAAGTGAAAGAATCAGTAGAAACAATAATTTCCTAAACCACTAGTAGGGCAATATCTCTTTTCAAAACAAAAGGAATACATGCAGAAAGTAAAACAAGCAAGTTTTTTAGATAGAAATAATGTTTTTAGATTAAATCCCTGCAGAAGTGCTTGTGGGCACAAAAGCTTCTTTGCTTTTTCTGGGTGCAAGTTGCTCTATTAAAAGAGCTCATTTTGGCCTAGAAATTCTGTATTTTCCTGTAGCTTTAGATCTTTTCAGCCACAACAATACATTCTTTGTGCAGTCTGTACAAGCTCATTTTAAGATGTTTCATGCTTTTTAGATTCCACGTCTCCACCTTTTCCATGTCACCAATATGCTCTTCTTTCTCTTTTCAGGTTGTGTTGAATGTTGCTCGTGTTGTGCAGTGGATATCACTAAGTTTCCAGGCAAAACTTGGTGGAAATTTAGAAAAACGTGCTACAAAATTGTTAAACATAGCTGGTTTGAAAATTTTATAATTTTTATGATTGTATTGAGCAGTGCAGCACTGGTAAATTTCATTCAATTTCTCAGTTTTTTCTATTTAATGTATCTCTTCTGTTCTCACATTCCTTTTTCCAGGGAGAGACAAGAGTATAAGGAACGTATTCTATGACTTCTAAGGCTCTCCCCCACTTGGATACGTTATTTAAATTTATAGAATCATAGTCTTCTTCACAGTTCTTAATGAAATGTGGTTCTTCACACTCTTGTGTGTTTTCAGGATCTGAAATGACTTAGGAAAGCTTAACAGAAGTACTTCTAAATACAGGGAGCAAATCAGGTCTGCTTTAATACCTAAAAAAATCATCATCTATCAGAGCACTGGAGACACATAGCAGAGACACTCAAGCAGGTGTTTCTACAAGGCATTGAAAGGTTTCATGTGGCTGGTGATAACTTGTAACTGTAGCTGAGCTAATCCTTGCCAAGCCATCCAGGTGTCTTTGCTATGGTGTTGCCCTGAACCAAAGGTCTGTGGACCAACTGGGTCAGCCTCCCATGTGACTGTTAATTCCTCAGAGGGTGTTGACTGTAAATGAACTTTTTAAGAAATAGCAGAATAGGAGATTTCTAAGTCAGGTAAGGAGCTGCTAAGTGTAGAGCTGACGCAGGTTGAAACTGGATATGGGCTAAAGCTCTGATACTCCTGAGCTTTGTCACAAGCTACAGCCAGGTGACTTTGAGCAAGTAAATTGATCTTCTACTCTTCATTTGCTCTTCCATAAATGAAGATGTTGTGTTCCAGCATCCCAAGGATGTGAGATGGTGTGTTCCTCTTGAGAGCACACACTCTTAAGCTTCTCATTTCAGCTTTTTGACTCATCTCATGGCAAGAAATAAGACAGAAATTTAGCAGCTGCAGGGGCAGTGTCAGTGAAAGGACCACACATCTGAATGAGGATAAAAGAAAGGGAAGTTGTTCAATGCCCTGGAGGGGCTCTAGAGGCATGTTGAGCTCCTGAGAAAGCGTATGAAACAAGAGACAAGATGAGATACAGCAATTTATATCTAGGAATCATAGGGTATGGGAAAGGGTGTGGTACAGGATGGCTTTTTTTTCTACACAAGTAAGAAAACTTTTAAGTAGAAGGATGTATCTACACAAGTAAGAAAACTTTTAAGTAGAAGTAATGACAGACGTGGATTTGGAAGGGGTAAATTGTGGTGGTGAAATGGATGGATAGATAATTAGAAATGTTGGCAGCAAATGAGAAATGAAGTGGAAATGGAGCTGTAATGTAGGGGAGAAATGGATGAAAGGAAGAATAAAGACATTGCCAGAGGCTTGGTGAGGGAATAATGCAAGGTGTTGAAAGGAATTGGGAATGGTTTGGCAATATAAAAAACTTAAAATAAATTAGCAAGGCAGCAGGTACATTAAACACAACCAAACAATGATGCAAACAACAGCAATCAATAAAACATTTTCCTAAACCCCTACTGACATCAAAGTAATGTCAATGTTGAGGTGAAACTCCAGGAATGAACAGTTCCAGATAAGCTGTTTGTAATATTTTTCCTATCTGTCCTACATCTCTGCAGGCTGATTAACGATGACTCCTTTGGAAAGTCTGTGTCTGAAAAACAGTGATTAATGTGTTTAATTCAAGCTTTATTAGGAAGAATTTTAGACCAACACCTTCAAGTTATCCACTAATGTGGGAATCCAAGATTTTTGGTAGCCACAATGGACCCTCATCAGATGAAGACAGGTTGAGGTTGAACCACTGAAAGGATGGGATTTTTCAAGGAACCTGAAAATGAGATTGTACTTAGTTATCAATTTAGGTTTTTACTTCTAAGCATAAAACTTAAGTGTTGGTTACCCATAACTTAGTGTGAAATGGTTATAATAAGATAAACTGGGTATTCTTGTACAAGTTTAAAATAGTTCTTAAAGATACTGTTTTAAAACTGGATTCTGAAATTCCAGGCATTTGAAGATATTCACCTGCAGGAGAGGAAAAAAGTTAAAATCCTCCTAGAATATGCTGATAAAGTATTTACCTACATCTTTTTCATGGAGATGCTTCTAAAATGGGTTGCTTATGGTTTGCACAGTTATTTCACAAATGCCTGGTGTTGGCTTGACTTCATCATTGTATGTGTAAGTATAAAATATATATATATAAAATATATATATATTCAGCTTGTCTTTTATTTTGAATATTTATATTTTTTATATAGAGAACTACATGTAAAATCTGATTGTGAATAAAGAAAAGTGCAAAAGGCAGTTTCCAAAAGCTGAAAAACTTGCAATCAAGAGAGACTTTAGGACAAATTTCAATGGAAATTGTAGGCAATGTAGGCTTAAGAACATTTTATTAGGTATCTCTGTTATTGAGGACCATGGTGTTTATAAAAACTTTTTCAAGTGTAGAGAGAGGGTGCAATTAGTGATCAGAAATAAAACTGAAATAAAATTAATTAAGATGACAGAAAAATCTTAAGCTACTGGGAATCAGAGAAAAAAATAGAGTTGCTTCTTGGTCTTCTAGTGTATGAAATTCAGAGGCTTGGGGCTGTTTAGACTGGAGAAGAGAAGACTGAGAAGGGACCTTGTTAATGTCTACAAATATCTGAAGGGTGAATGTTATGAATGGGCCAGTCTCTTTTCAGTGGTGCCCTGTGATAGGATGAGGGATAACAGCACCAAGTTATAACACAGGAAGTTCCACCTCAACATGAGGAAAAACGTCTTTACTGTGAGGGTGACAGAGGTGCCCAGAGAGGTTGTGGAGTCTCCTTCTCTGGAGACTTTCAGGACCCATCTGGACACATTCCTGTGTGAGCTGCCCTGGGTGTTCCTGCTGCAGCAAGGGGGTTGGACTTGATCTTCAGAGGTCCCTTCCAACCCCTATAATTCTATGATTCTATGAAATTACCATAGTTACCAATTTGCTTGTTAGACTAGCATCCCTCAAAAAGCTGAAGGAACGGTTTTTGAAGCAAAACATAAAAAAGGAAAAAAAAAAATGTTTCAAATTAGAATGAGAGAATTCCATTATTTTTTAAGTATTAGGAGTGAAGTAAATTTATATTATGTTAACTTTGAAAGTGTATTTTCTTCGCTTGACTTACTGGTTACTTACTTCGTTTGACTTACTGACTTACTGTAACATTCAGGCTATGACACGTTAAATCAGTTTTTGTCTATCATTTAATAATCTTAGTTTCAATTCAATAACCACAGCTGTCATTTGTTTCCTGGGGACTAAATGCTGTTTCCAAAGAATCACCTTGTTCCTCTGAGAGTGCCCTGAAATCCCTCAGGACTCTTAGAGCATTGAGGCCTCTACGAGCTTTGTCAAGATTTGAAGGGATAAAGGTAAGGATATTGGGGGTGTGTGTCCATATTTTGTAAAAGCTGCTTTTGAAGTTTTTGTGAAAATTACAACTTTCATCTCTGGTTTAGGACTTGGTTCAGATGACCTGGTTGCACCTTATGGTTGTTCATTTGAAATGATACCTATCACTTTCACAGAAATGTTATAAATACAAATGAAATATGGATATTGAATGAGAATGTGCCACCACAAGGAATTATTGTGGATAGTAATTTGAACACCTGAACATTTTTCCACATTTCCAGCTTCGGTGCAATTTGCAGAACAAACTAAACTGATTTTTTTTTTAGACTTGTACTTTTCTGAAACCCATTATTTCATTCATCTTAGGGAAAAATTTCATCCAGAATGTCTGACAAATCTTCCTGAAAAAAATGCATATTCTCAAAAAAAAAAATAATGAAAGGGAACCATTTTTACTTACTTGTCAATAGAAAAGCAGCCACATACAGAGTTAGTACAGAAAGCACTGAATGTGAATTGTTCATTCTTTTCATGAATTTTATTTATTTAAGGTCGTTGTGGATGCAATCTTGGGAGCCATCCCCTCAATCTTGAATGTTTTGCTCGTCTGTGTTGTGTTCTGGCTCCTGTTTAACATTGCAGGAGTAAAATTCTTTGGGAAACAATTTTACAAATGCGTCCTCCCGGAAGGAAATCTCAGTCAAATTAATAACATGAGTGATTGTAATTCCTATGGTGGAACGTGGACCAATAGTGATGTCAACTTTGATAATGTTGGGATGGGCTACCTGGCTCTTCTCCAAGTGGTGAGTTCTATCAAAACATGCATAATTTTGTCTTCTTCAAGGAAATGTGCTGGGCAGCTCAACCATGGGGCACCACAACGCTTCTGGTTATCTCACTGAAACTGGGGAACTTTTTATATATATTTATATATATATAAGACAATTTGTCTTATATATAAGCTGTTCAGTGCCTCCTAGAAAAGCACTTCAGCACATTCAACCTTGTGTTAAAACTGAGCACTGTGTGTCATGGCTTTTCAATTTAGTTTTAATTTTGATTAACATTCTAAGCCTGAAATAACATGCATGTCACCAGATTTAGAGTCACTCTCATTTTCCTCAGCAAAGGTTAGTTCAGAGGGGATGAGAAAGAAAAAACATGCTGCAGTTTATTCGTATTTCTGTATTTTATTAGGTAAATCATCAAGTATTGGGAGGCTAATTTATTGATCTCCCACAATAAAAGAGAGAAAGGCATTTTTTAAAGTGGGTGTTACCCCTGTATCTTTTCTAGCTGAAGTTCTTTGCCCAGTATCCTCCAAAGTGTTCTATGATTCAGCAGAGCTGCTAAACATTGGAGGAAGGAATCATTTGCTGTTTTCTTAGAATATTTTTGTTGTTGTTTTTTTTCTTTTAGGATTTATTTGCTAGATAAGCTGACACTTTCTGCTTTTGTAAAAACCAGAATTTACCAAAAAAATCATTTAACATAAAAACACATTTCACAGGATTTATGGCTCTTTTTTTTTTTTTCCTTTTCAAGAAATATATTTTTTTTCTCTTCACTAAACTCCAGTGAATCAGACTTCCAAGCAGATCTTTGGAAGTGATGGACAATTTTTATAGCACACTTTGAACATGTTTATATTAGCTTTACCTGATTCTTAAACTGATTTTTGGTTTAATGATAATAACTTTAAAAATGGATTTTTCCAGGCAACTTTCAAAGGTTGGATGGATATTATGTATGCAGCAGTGGATTCACGTGGGGTATGTCACTAAAATGACATTTGAGTTCTTTTCCCTGTCCTTCTTTCCTTCTTAATCCACACAATTAATTTCCACAATTTTGTTTGCAATATCAAGTAAAAAATACAAGCAGATGAATCCTTCAAGCTACGTAGTGAAACATGAATCTTTGGAGATTATTCAAATATCTGGAACTTAAACAAAAGAAAACTTGTCAAAATAGAGTGACACCTCAGAAAACTTTCCTTGTCAAGAAGGTAGAGGGCAAGATGTTGCAAGTTTTGGACAAGTCTGTTTTGGAAACAGAATTCAGAAGGTCTTGAAGGGATTTTGCCTGTGAAGCAAATTTTCTTTTTAAATGTGTATGGTAGCTTTACAATGACATGCATGTCTAGCAGCTATTTCTGGAGGTTTTCTTCCCTGTGTTTGACATCTTACTATTTCCTCCCCATTTCCATATGTTTCTTACTCTCTCACTAGTACAGTGTGTTTAAACTTCTCTACATTTAATCATTTTGCTTATTTGTTCAAAAGTGCTGTACTCTTGGCTCTAGTGAAATAGCTGCTTATTAAAAAGATCATTCCTTATATCATAGTGAGGTGGCTTTTTAAAACTGCTTCTCATCTGGAATTGCATTCAAGGGGATGGTGGTTCATTATGTTTAGTCTGAGGTGTTTTTCTAATCTAATTATTCAAAGTATCATTTCTGCTTGGAACTGTTTAACTATGACTTAAGAATTTTCTAGACCTGGATTTGACTATATGTCTTTGTAGATATCTTTACAAACAGTAACAAGACAGAACAAGACAGCTCTGCTTGTACATCTAAGTCAAGGTTTAAATGTGTAGAAATAATCTATTCCTCCTGACCATAAAAAAGATTTGTTATTATAACTTGAAAATTATAAAGCTGAGATTATCAGATTTTTACTAGTATTATTTTTCTGGTTTGATTGATTGATTTATTTATTTTAACAGATAAATCAACAGCCAAGGTTTGAAGCATTCTTAGTCATGTATATGTATTTTGTGATTTTCATTATTTTTGGATCTTTCTTCATGCTGAACCTTTTCATTGGAGTGGTTATCAGCAATTTTAACCAACAAAGGAAAAAGATAAGTACTGCATGAGCTCATTCAGAGTCCCTTGTAATCCCAATTTGATTAAGTGAATGCTAGCTTGACATTAGATGTCTGATATTTTCAGATAACTGGAAGCAGTATGAAAATTTAAAATAATAATGAGATACCATGTTTTGAAAATAGGAGTCCCCTTTTCCTCAAAGCTTGTAGTAAATTCTATTTTCATTCAAAATACTTAATTTCTTCTAAGAAGAAAGGAGTGGGTAGTTTAAGAAAAGAGAAGCCAAAAAAGGTGTCAAGGTTTAATGCTGGGCCAGCCTCACCACAGCTGAGGAAACTTGCTGGTGTTTATTGAGTTGACTGCTTAAACTTCAGCTGAACGACAGTTTTCTTTCCCTTTACTTAGGTGGAAAAGACCTATTTTTGACTGAGCAACAGAAAAAGTATTATAATGCCCTAAAAAAGCTTGGATCCAAGAAACCTCAAAAACCCATCCCAAGACCATTGGTGAGACCATCTTCAGTAGAATGTGATAGAAGATATAAAAACTGTGACCATATTTAAACTCAGTAGCCTGGCATCTGGACATAAACTTCATTTTAGACCCCATCATCTTCCTCATTCCAGATACTATTTACATTTTACTCTCTTCTGCTTAATTCCATCTAATGCAGTCTTTCTTTGTGGGTATTAATTTAAGGAAATTTGCAGCCTATTTATCCCCTATTGCAATGTACAATCAATGTATAAATGTTCATATTAAGTATTTACTATTCATAACATGATCTTTATTACTTAAGTTGCGTGGTATTCCTTCTGCAACCAGATTGGATTATTACAGGTGAGAATGAATAGTGAGTTGTACATGTCCCATGGCTGTTATTTACTTTGAAATAATTTTATGCTTTATTTCTTATGGTTTCTTTCCAGGCCTGGCTTCACACAGTAACTATTCAGAGTTTTTCCTGCCTATAACATTTTAATTGGAGTTTCTTATCCTAAAATGCTTCAACAAGTATTTCTATTCAAAGAGCAATCACAATGTACTCTGAGTGTTTTCATGCTGTACCATTTTGCTAAGGAAATGTGGTTGTGTGATACCTGAAAATACTTAGCCAATCACTGAGAGTTTTCTTGGAAGGCCTAAAGAAATCACCTAAAAATGCTTCCAGTAGCTTATTGTTAAATTTATATTCTCTTAAATTCCTTTTCTAAGCACAAAATACTGGTCAATATTTTAATGTAGCCTGGGTCTTAGAAGTAGCATTAAGCAGCTGTTCTCTTTCTCTCCACAGAACATGTTCCAAGGATTCCTGTTTGATATAGTATCTCACCAAGCATTTGACATCACTGTTGTGATTCTCATCTGTCTAAACATGGTCTTTATGATGGCAGAAAACAACGAGAGAGACATCAAGAATGTTCTTAATAACATCAACCATTTTTTTGTGGTGGTATTTACTGGGGAATGTGTCATAAAAATACTAGCCCTGAGACATTACTTCTTCACCAGTGGCTGGAACCTATTTGATTTAGCTGTTTTGGTGCTTTCCCTTCTTAGTAAGTATCAATTCTTGTTAAGGGTTTTACCAATATGAAGCCAAATTTCAGTATAAAGGAACCACCTACATATCTCTGATAAATAAATTCCAGATCCAATGTACCCTGCCAAACCATATGCTAAGTGAAAAGAAAGTATTTTTGTTTTCCTTTATGTTTTTTCAGAGGACTAAAAGGTAAATGGATATTTTATTTATTTATTTTTCTAAGTATGAGTTTTCTAGAGTATTAACAGAATAGAAATTTAATGCAGAAACATATTTTCTAAGTTATTGTATTAAAATGTTGTCTCAATATTTTTTATGCTTTGGATTTACATGTAATCACATTAACTGTTGTTATCATAGTAAAAGTAAAAAAGTTAGAAATATATTTGTGTGAAAAATGGGAAAAAATATTTCATTTTCCAGGACTTTTTCTTAAGAGGGTAGATCCTTAGGGCTGATTTAGAAAGCTCAGGAAAATTTAATTGCTCAGCACTATTCTAAATCTGGGCCACTATATCTGACTGTGAAAAGTCATATTGTTTTGCTTTTCAAGTAAGACTAGATGCTTACCATTTTCTCTGCAAAGGATCAATTTTAGTTTCTTGTAGCGTTTATTTGGTCTGTGCTTCTTCCTCAGGCTCAGGTTATATCATATAATCAAGGATGGGAAAAAACACCTGATCTGAGTTCTCCACTTTGTCCCTAAGCACAGTTCTCCTTTCCTCTCCCATGCAACCCAGAAAAAATGATAACTTCTGAAGTCTTCTGTTTGCAATAATTCACAGTATTACTGTAGTGCTGAAGGAACTGATTATTCTGGTGGTAGGATCATAGAATGAGGTGTGAGGGAGAACAAATACTGAAAGACAGGTTTCCTTTATTTTCTTCTTGCTCTTCTCTGATCTCATTCAATACCAAGCACTAATGAAAGCCTCACATTTAGCACGTGAGACCTGTAGAGGAGGAAGGAATCAGCCAGCAGCTGGGAGACAAGCCCTATAGCTTCCATCACAGGAACTGAAGGGTTTTAAAGGGATTTTTATGTACTTGAGCAATGTGTAATTCCATCCCTTGAGTCGGAGAAATCTGGGAGAATGCAGTTTCCAAACTACACATCATCTTGATACTTTTTTAATATTTAAGGGTATTACAAATTGTCTTTCTATTCCTAAGCTCTTTTGTAAGCAATTGCAGTCTTGGGGCTGGTGCTTTTGTTGAAAGTGGTGCAATATGATCAAAGCTGCTTTCGACACCTGAAGCATAGAAGATAACAAAATGGACATAAGGAAGGGATTTCAGTGATATGGATTGACAACATGTTTTGTGCTTGTTTTTTTTTCTAATCTTCTTCATTTCAAAGGTATTGGACTTGAAGGCTTCCGAACGTCCCTCTCTCCTACACTGCTGAGAATTTTTCGTTTGGCACGAATTGGCCGAATCCTGAGATTGATTAGGAAAGCCAGAGGAATCCGAACTCTTCTTTTTGCTTTGCTGATGTCTCTTCCTGCCCTGTTCAACATTGGGCTTCTGCTCTTCCTGGTCATGTTCATTTATGCGATTGTAGGCATGACCAACTTTGCCTGTGTTGGCTGGGAAGGTGGGATGGACAACCTCTTCAACTTTCAAACCTTTGATAGTAGCATCCTGTGTCTCTTCCAAATTACGACATCGGCTGGCTGGGATGGTCTTTTGCTCCCTCTGTTGAAAGGATCTAATTCGTGTGCTCCCAACTTAAATTTAACATCCGAACAGAGAAATAATTGCACGAATAAGGGGGTTGGCATTTTATATTTTGTAAGCTATGTCATCATATCATTTCTCATTGTTGTAAATATGTACATAGCTGTCATTTTAGAGAACTTCAGCGTTGCCACTGAAGAAAGCGCCGATCCTCTTTGTGAGGATGACTTTGACATGTTCTATGAGACCTGGGGAAAATTTGATCCTCAGGCAACCCAGTTTATTGAATATTCTGCTCTTTCAGACTTTGCAGATGCTCTGGCAGAGCCCTTACGTATTCCAAAGCCTAATAAAATTCTGCTCATATCCATGGACCTCCCCATGGTTAGTGGAGATAAGATTCACTGCTTGGATATCTTGCTTGCTCTCACTAAGAGGGTCTTGGGAGGATCTGGAGATTTTGGAGGTCTTGAATCACACATGGAAGAAAAATTTATGGCTGCCAATCCATCTAAAGTTTCTTACAAGCCAATTACTACCACCCTGAAAAGAAAACAAGAAGAGGTGTCAGCCCTTGTTATTCAAAAGGCCTTCAGGAAGTACTTGGTGCAGCGTGCTTTTAAAAATAAGTCTTTGTTGTACCGTCACAAGCGTTATAGCAGTTCTGTCTTGGAAGAAGAACGTCTTGCTCTGATGCTGAATGAAAATCATGGTAGGAAGCTGGATAAGTCACGGACCACATCTTCCATGTCACTGCCTTTATTTTATGATGGGTTTGCTGAAACAGATAGTAATAATGAGAAGACGTAAGGTTGCCCCGGGCTGCAGCGCTTTTTGATTAAACCCGTATCAGGTATTTTCAAGTAGAGAAAATATCTTCATCTCAGAGCATGACAATTTGGAATGATGATGGCAGCCTTTCAGTATTGTGATTGTTCAGTTTTGCAAAGGCACCTAAAAATAATTAAGATTTGAACAACTAAATCCTAAGTATTGGAGGAAAATTAAATAATGGAATTTTTTTCCCTCAGCTACTGGAGTAGATGAGTTGATTTTTACACCTGTCATTTTTTGCATTAATTAATATTTCTGTGTTTACAGAAGAAATCCATAAAAGATCAGTTGTAACTGTAATATGATTTATATGCACACAAGGCTGTAGAACAATGTGTATCCCTTTAGAGATAAAGTCCAGTTTGAAAAATTGGTTATTGTAGCAAAATTAGTCAGTTACTACATTTTCTGTAAAAGAGCTCCCTCAAGCCAAGCAGCCACTAATTTCTGTATTGTTTGAGACCATTTTCCTCTTAGTGCTTTCAGATGGATTTATTTAAGAAGTTTTGAAGTGTCTTTACATGTGCACCTAAATGGATTTAACATCTCATCCTGAGATGTCTGTGCTTGAAAGTTGTATAGAATTTGTTCTTTGTATCACTCAGTGTATAAAACCTGTGATAACTATCATTACCAAAATCAAATATTGTTATGCAAGAAGAGATTGTTTGCAGAAAATCTTAATAATTCTTGTACATAAAATGTCATTATTATACTTAATGCAAATGTCACGGAAAGTATTACTTAGTAATCTGAAAAGGAGTTCATGGTGTGTCTTACAACATTTATTAAATTTAGAGGAAGTATTTTATTTGTTCTGAAAAAAAGGAGCCATGTATGAACAATGTGTATGAATATTACTGTTTTTTGCAGTTTAGGTTGGTGAGGTGAAGTCTCGTGGTGGTCTCAGAGCTACTAATGAAACGACTATTTTAGATTCTTCAATAAAGAGTTCAGATGCTTAAGGTATTTGCTTTGTAAGAGTTCTCTTCAATTTCAGTGTAACACAAGACTTAGTCTGATGTTAGAGGTGTAGAACCACAGTAATATATGTGTTCCATTTTACAGGGAATCAGAAAAGACTTGGCACTTTCAGATAAAGAACAGTAGTGACTCAAATTTTGCTGTCATTTGCCTTATTAAATACTATTAAAATATGACGGATATAATAAAATCTTGTATATTTGAGGACAAATAAAGGCACATGAAAGCTGAGAGTTAAAGACTTCAGATACAGTATGGTTTAAACTAGCTTCATTACTTCCAGAACCAGCTTCTGTTCAGAAAAAAAATTAAAAAAAAAATGGACAAAGAAGGTCTGCAGACCTCTTAGGGAAACCCAGGAATCTGCCCTTAGTGTCAGCAATGAAATGCAGAGAAACTTGATGGATGTGTTTGATTCCTGCTCCTATCCAGCTTGACCTGCTTTTGTTCCTGCAGTGCCTAGTGATGCTTTTCATAGAATGGTTTGGGTTGGAAAGAACCTTTTAAAGGACGACTACTCCAACTTCCCTGCAGTGAGCAGGAACATCTTCAACTAGATCAGGTTTCTCAGACCCCATCCAACGTGACCTTGAATGTTTCCAGGGATGCGGCTTCTACCACCTCACTGGGCAACCTGTGCCAGTGTCTCACCACTCCCATTGCAAAAAATTCCTCCTTTATATCTAGTTGAAATCTCCCCTCTTTCAGTTTAAAACCATTATCTCTTATCCTATCACAACAGGCTCCATCTTTTCTTACAGCTCCCCCTCCCCCTTTAAGCACTGAAAGGCTGCAATAAGGTCTCTCCAGAGCCCTCTCCATGCTAAACAGCTCCAGTTGTCTTAGCCTCTCCTCAGCCCTTTGATAATCTCTGTGGCCTTTCTTTGGACTTGATCCAACAGGTCCATGTCCTGGTCTCAGGAAAGCAGAGTAGAGGGGCAGAATCACCTCCCTGGCCCTGCTGGCCACACTTCTTTGATGCAGCCCAGGACACGGTTTCTGGGCTGCAAGCACACATTGCTGGCTCATGTCCAGCTTTCCATCCACCAGGACCTCCAAATCCTTCTCCACAGGGCTGCTCTCAAGCCCTTCATCCCTCAGCCTGTATCAACACCAGGGTTTGCCCCAATCCAGGTGCAGGAACTTGCCCTTGGAGGTTAAACTATTTGTTCTGTCCGGTGTGAGCTGCAAGTGACACTTTTTGTTTTGTTTTGTTTTGTTCAGAGATCAGATACCATTAGATGGCAGCATTTACTGCCTTTTAGAATATATACCCCACCCTAAATTAAACCGACGTCAAACTCCTGCACTTCAACGTGGAGAAATTAAATTTATTATAAATTCCTATAGAAAATAATGACATAACTCGCAGTTTTCCATCTTGGGCTCTCAGGCTCTCCAGAGTTCTCAGCAGGTGTTTGTTGGCTGCCAGTTTCATGACAGATTGACTAACCTTCATGATTGTGAAAAAAAGTTCTGTTTTCCTGTTTTCTTGAATCTTCCAGGGAGTACTTTCAAGGAAATCTGTCTAGCACTGTGGCCAGGAATGTTTGTTAGGAAAGGGGGAAGATTGCTTTGCTCTTGCTTATTGGTAAAGAAGAATAGATTGGAAAAGCCGTAAGGAGAGAATTTAAAACACCAACAATGTGTAACAAAATACCAATTTGTTATTACTATTAGTTTAAATGAATATGATCTTCTCAATTTAAAATGATGTTGTTTGACTGCAGCAGCAGTCAGAAATTGTCCAGAATCAGAAATACTTCAAGTTGAAGTATTGTCCCACTGTAGGGACAGCAATTTTGGACAAAATCACACCTAGCACAAACATATCCTTAGTCCTTATTTTACTTTACAAACATACAAAAGCCTTTGAATTCACCCCAGTGCAAATCTTAAGGTCTGATCAATTTTTTAGTGTTGCTTAAGCATGAAAGTAGCCCTAGCACACCACTGCAGGGCTGAAAGGAGAATGGTGACATCCAGCTGCTGCAGCTTCTTCATGCCAGAATTTCCCAAAAGCCAAATCGGGTGCTGAGGTAATGATGTGGAGTTTCTTTTAAAAAAGACTGTAAAGATTGTGATAATAGCACTGAACAGGTGGGAGTTTTTGACAATTCTGGTATCTGAAACTGTGAGTTGCTCTGGGTAAAACTACGTGAACTTCATGAGAAGAGGTCTGGGATTCTTGGAACAGAGTGTCCCTTTCTGTTCAAGAAGTTTGGTACTTAAATCAGAGAATAGCAGAGACAAAGGGATATTGGATCCTTCTGGTTAGGAAGCACTGTGCATGTAAAGCTATCAGAGAATTCCTGAGGACTAGCACTGTAATACATCCCAGCATTACCTCCTTAGTGGTAGTGCAGAATTCCATAATCACACTTCTCTTTATCACTTTTCTGTGTAGAAATATATAGCAACTGACCAACAGGAATGAAGAGTTGTCTCGTAGTTTTGTGACAGCCCAGTATGCCTGAGAACAGGCTCCACAAATGTTTTGTGGGAATTGTCCTTCTTTTATTTCCTGGAGCTCTCCAGTTACCGCTAACCTTGCAATGTTTACACAACCCATCGTGTTTCTTCAGGATTCATAGAGGCGCCATATGTAGTTAAGGTATTTTAAATGTAAGAGAAAGAGCATCTCAGCATGACATTTTTCTCTGAACTCACTAAAGTGTCACTTTCCAAAGCCATCACTGGGGTCAACATTCTGTCCCAACTTGAGAAATCCCCACAACATCTGTTATGCAAGAACACAAGCCCAAATATGCTTTTCTAATTTATATTCAGAGTGAAAGTTCCCATAAGAATAGCACACCCCACAGCTGTGGCAGCTTTAGGCAGAGGTCAGGATTATTACTAGAAGTGAACTTGTTGTGGTTTAACCCCAGCTGGCAACTAAGCACCACGAAGCTGCTCCCTCAGCCCCTGCAAGTGGGATGGGGAGAGAAAAAGTAAAATTGAGAAAACTTGTGGGTTGAGATAAAGACGGTTTAACAGGTAAAGCAAAAGCCACATAAGCAATTAAAGAAAAAGAGGCAATTCCTTCACTACTTCCCGTGGGCACACAGCTGTTCAGCCATTTCCAGGAAAGCTGGGCTCCATCACTGGTAATGGTGACTTGAGAAGATAAACGACATCATCTTGACCATCTCCCTCTTCCTCCTTCTTCCTCCAGCTTTCTGTTGCTGAGCATAATGTCACAGGGTATGGAATATCCCTTTGGTCCATTGGGGTCAGCTGCCCCAGCTGGGTCCCCTCCCAGCTTCTTGTGCTCCCCCAGCTTGCTTATTGGGGTGGTTGAGGAGCAGCAAAGACCTTGAAACTGTGGAAGTCCTTCTCAGCAATAACACGGCCCCATCCAAGCTACTATGAAGAAAATTAACCCTATCCCAGCCAAACCCAGCACATCAGCCCTCTTTCTTTTTACTACTGAACATTAGCTTAACGTACTGTCTTCTAAGTGTGTGTGGTGGAAGCCCATGCAACGACTGCTTGTGCAAGACCAAACTTATGTGCATGTTAACTAACCTGGCTCTTACATGTATATAATGGTGAATAGGGAAGAACTATTTGACTTTCTGCCATTCCTCCCTTCTCCTTTCTTCTCTTACCTGAATGGTTTGGATGTTTTCTTCAGTTATTCCTAGGTTTGGATAAGCCTTTGCAGTTTTAGTAGCTTAACAGCTGCTGAATTTAGAGATTTATAGTCATAAATATTTTATAGTAGCATTAGAAAAAAGTAATCCCATCAGCCAATTCACTGATCACAGTGTCTCATTACAGGTGCAAGATAAAGGTAAGAAAACACCACAGATTATGGTGACCAACAAAATAACAATGTAATGATCCTTCCCCTTTGGTATCCCTAAGTGTCATCAATTCCCAGCAAGTGGATGATGAGCTGAAATGAGAGAACAGAAGAATAAGAAATGGTAAAACTAAAAAGTCAAGCTGATTATTTGAAAGCAGCTGGTATGAAAGAAATCTGA